CAATGAATAAGGAAACTGAAGAACAGATGCCTTTGAATTATGGTGTTGGCGAAGAATATTGAATATACCGTGGACTACCAGAAGAATGAACAAATCTGTCTCAGAAGAAGTACAGCCAGAATGCTCCTCAGAAGCAAGAATGACAAGACTTTGTCTCACATACTTTGGACATTTTATCAGGAAGGATCATTTCCTGGAGAAGGACACCATGCTTAGTAAAGTAGAGGGTCAGCAAAAAAGAGGAAGACCCTCAACAAGATGGACTGACACAGTGGCTGCAAAAATGGGCTTAAGCATAACAATGATTGTGAGGATGGCGCAGGACCGGGCAGTGTTTCGTTCTGTTGTACAGAGGGTGAATATGAGTTGGAACCAACTTGACAGACAGCACCTAACAACAACTACAAGGAAGACCAGTTAATACGGCTATTATTCAAATTTATGCACCAACCACTAAAAAAGCCAGAGATGAAGAAATTGAAGATTTTTACCAAATTCTGCAGTCTGAAATTGACTGAACATGCAATCAGGGTGCCTTGATAATTACTGGTGATTGGAATTTGAAAGTCAGAAACAAAGAAGAAGGATCGGTAGTTGGAAAATATGGCCTTGGTGATGGAAAGGATGCCAGAGATCATATGACAGAATTTTGCAAGACCAATGACTTCTTCATTGGAAATAACTTTTTTTCAACAACACAAACGGTGACTATACACATGGACCTTGCCGGAGGGAATACATAGGAATCAATTTGACTACATCTGTGGAAAGAGACAGAAAAGCTCAGTATCATCTGTGAAAACAAGGCCAGAGGCCGACTGCAGAAGAGACCATCAATTACTCATATGCAAGTTCAACTTGAAGCTGAAGAAAATTAGAACAAGTCCACGAGAGCCAAAGTACAACCTTAAGTATATCTCATCTGAATTTAGAGACCATCTCAAGAACAGATTTGATGCATTGAACACTAATGAATGAAGACCAGAAGAGTTGTGGAAAGATATCAAGTACATTATAGATGAAGAAAGCAAGAGGTCATTGAAAAGACAGAAAAGAAAGAAAAGACCAAAACGGATGTCAGAAGAGACTCTGAAACTTACTCTTGAATGTCAAATAGCTAAAGCAAACGGAAGAGATGATGAAGTAAAAGAGCTGAAGAGAAGATTTCAAAGGGCAGCTCGAGAAGACAAATTATAATGAAATGTGCAAAGACCTGGAGTTAGAAAACCGAAAGGAAAGAACATGCTGGGCATTTCTCAAGCTGAAAGATTTAAAGAAAAAATTCAAGCTTTAAGTTGCAATATCGAAGGATTTTATGGGGAAAATATTAAACGATGCAGGAAGCATCAAAAGAAGATGGAAGGAATATACAGAGTCACTGTACCAAAAAGAATTAGTCAATGTTCATCCATTTCAGGAGGTAGCATACGATCAGGAAGTGATACATACAGTGCAGCATTATTTAGTCATAAAGAGAGTGAAGTTCTTTTACATGCTACCACATGGATGAAACTTGAAAACATTATGCTGAGTGAAATAAGTCAGACACAAAAGACAAAAACTGTATTATATGATCCCATTTACATGAAATATCTAGAATAGGCAAATGCGTAGAGACAGAAAGTAGATTAGTAGTTACCAGGGGCTAGGGGGAGGGGAATGAGGAGTTATTGCTTAAGGGGTATTGAGTTTTTGTTTGGGGTGATGTAAAATATTTGGAGATGGATGGTGGCAGTGGTTGCACAACATGGTAAATGTAATCAATGTACACTTGAGAATAGCTATAATGGCAAAGTTTTTGTTATGTATGTTTTACTACATAAAATTGAAAAAAAATACAGAAAGAAAATAAAAATTTCACATTTGGTAGTCTTCTATTTCCTTGCTGAGGCTATCTATTTTTTCATTTATTTCATGTGTGTTTGTGATTTCTCGTTTAAGCACTTTTATAATGGCTGCTTTGAAATTCTTGTCAGATAATTCTAACATCTGTGTCATCTCGGTGTTGCCCTCTGTTGATTGGCTTTTCTCATTCAACTTTAGATCTTCCTGTTTTTTGGTATGATGAGCGCTTTTAGATAGAAACCCGGACTGTTGAGTGTTATAAGACTGGATCTTATTTAAATCTTGTGCTTTAGCAGACTTCTTCTGACAGAGGAAGGGAGGGTGACTTCTCATTACTGACAGGTGGGAGTGGAAGTCCAGTTCTCCACTTGGCCTTCATTGACACCTGGACAGACTCCTGATTATTGTTGGGTGTGGTGGGGGGAAATTCAGACTCCCCAGTAAACCTCCACTGATACTACCTTGGCTGGGAGTGTGAAGGGTGCCTACTTATTGTTTCCTACATGGCCTCTATTGACATTGTGGGGTGGAGGGTCACCTTGTTGCTGATGATTGGCAGTGGCAGTCCTGACTCTCCACCTGACCTCCTCTGATACACCCCAGGGAGGCAGTGGAGGGGTGCCTCCTTAACATTGGGAGTGGAAGTCCAGCTTCCCCAACGTGGTTTCCATTGATATATGGTAGGATGGAAGTCTCCTTAAGTCTCATCCTTAAGTGGGATGAAAATCCCAGTTTCCCATCGGGCCTCTGTCTTAGTTATCTAGTGCTGCTATTACAGAAATACCACAAGTGGGTGGCTTTAGCAAACAGAAATTTATTTTCTCACAGTTTAGAAGTCTTAATTCAGGGTGCCAGCTCTTGGGGAAGGCTTTCTCTCTCTGTTGGCTCTGGAGAAAGGTCCTTGTCTCTTATGAGCTTCTGCTCCTGGGCAATATTCATGTAGCTTGGCATATGTCTTCCCCCATCTCCCCTTGCTAGTTTGCATTTAATCTGTTTCATATCTCAAAAGACATTGACTCAAGATTCACCTTACACTAATCCTGTCTTATTAACATAACAAAGACAACCCATTCCCAAATGGGGTTATAACCACAGTCATAAAGGTTAAGATTTACAACACGTATTTTTGGGGGACGCAGTTCAATCCGTAGCAGCCTCTGACACCACACCAGTGATGTGTGTGGGAGGGGGAGGTGCCTCTTTACAAGCTACCATGGATGGAAGTCAAGGCTCTCCAATTGGCTTTTGGTGGCAGGGGTAGGGGTGGGGCTGCAGTTTTTTTCTGTGGTTTGGGTTGGAGTAGAACCATTATTGGAACACTGGTGGCGCAGTGGTTAAGAGCTCAAACTTCTAACCAAAAGGTCGACAGTTCAAATCCACCAGCCACTCCTTGGAAACCCTATGGGGTAAGTTGTACTCTATCCTACAGGGTCCCTATGAGTTGGAATTGACTTAATAGCAATGGGTTTGGTTTTGGTTTTAGAGCAATTATTATCTAAAAATTTTGTCTTCCTAGGCTGCCCCTTTCCTTATCCTTTGGCTAGAGAGAGCAAGCTTTTCTTGGGGCTTTTTTCTTTTTTTTCTGTGCCTGTTGGTGTTTCCAGGTTGCTGGCTTCTCCAGTACCTAGTCTGGAATAAAACCCAAAAAACCCACTGCCATTGAGTCAATTATGACTCATAGTCATAGACTTATAGTGACCCTATAAGACAGAGTAGAACTGTCCCATAGTGTTTCCAAGGCTGTAAATCTTTATGGATGCAGACTGCCACAACTTTCTCCCACAGAGCAACTGCTGACCTTTTGGTTAGCAGCCGAGAGCTTTAATTACTGTGCCATCAGGGCTCCACCTTACTTGGGGTAAAACTAGGTCCTTTAACCCACAAGTTGTTACTAAGATATTGCACTTTCTAAACTAACAAGCAGCAATCTAAATTTTCCAGAACAGTGGAGATAGACCAGGAGGGTAAAAACCTTGTGTGAAAATGGCAGAGGAAAACATTTTGAACATACTATTTGAAAATGTAACTAGCATTTAGACAAAAATAAAAATTCCCGTATGTTTCCAGATTTTGTGAATATCTGAAAGGATTTCCACAATATATTAATTGAAGGTACAGAGCATTGTTACAGCAAGCTACTGTTGTGTAATAAAGCCAGGGGAGGGGTGGATGCTGAATATATACATAAGCTGGGAGATTTTTCAACTTATACGCTTTCACCATCTTTTGAGTTTAGAACTGTAGTTCTCCAAAGTTTCTCTCTCACCATCCTCTTTCCCTGCTTGCTCTTCTACTATTTCAGGCCTTTTCTTTTTCTTATTATTTTTAAGAATTACTTACATAAACCAAACCAAATCCATTGCCATCGAGTTCATTCTGACTCATAGCAACTCACATAGCTACTCTGAATAAAAGTTAATATGAATGTATCAAAAAGATACATGCATTGCAAGTATCTTCCCCATTCTATTGCTTGCCTTTTCACTCCCTCTCGATAAATTTAACGACGCCCAATTTATAAGTGTTTTCCTTTACAGTTGGTAGTTTTCGTCTCCTACAAAAAGTATTTTCCTATTCCATGGTCATACCATGTTTTGCTATCTTATCTTCTAGAAGTTGTACCTTTCTCGTTTAGGTGTAAGATTGGTCTAGAATTGATTTTTTATGAAGTAGGAGGCAAGGTCCATTTTTCCCCAAACGACATTCAATTGATCTAGCACTATTTATTGACAAGAACTTTTCTCATAGAATTACAGTGACTCTTCTGTGGGAGGAAAAATACTGACCACATACGTGTGGGTCTATTTCTGGTCTTTCTCTTCTCTTCCACTGATCTGTCCATCTCTGAGCCAATAGCAAACTGTTTTAAGTACTATCGCTTTGTAACGAGTCTTGATAAGTGTAGTATCAATTCTCCAACTTAGTTCTTTCCCAAGAGTGCGCGGAACCCAAACCACAACCTGCCGAGTTTTACTCCGGACCATGAAGAATAGGAACTTATCAAGAACGATCCCGCTCAGACCTTGCGCATTGAGGGACGCACGCAGGATACGCACGCACAGTCTACATCTCTGAGATTGGACGGACCTGCGCGGAAGGGTTTTCGTCACTTCCGAGGCGGGAGGATGAAGTTGTCCGTGGACTCTCCGGCAACCAGGTAGACCTGGAGAAGAAGGAAGCTTGGTGGTGAAGGGGACAGCGTCTGGCCCAGAGCCGAAGCTCGCGGGGGTGTCCAGACTCGAGTGAGGGGAGAGATCCCGGTGTAGAGGCCGAGCGGGCCTCCAAGCTGGCTTCCGGGACCTCCGGCGCCCGGACTTTGTCCGTGGGACAGGTGGGAGGTCGAGGCGGCCGTGGGTTTTCTGAAGGACGACTCCGTCCAGACACTTATGTACATTAGAGGCCTGGCTGTGCCGTCTTTTGGCTGGGGAGTCTGCTCCTGTCGCTGGGTTTCCGCGACTGGAAATGGGTGTCCCGCCCAAGCCTTGGAGAGTCTAATCTATGTGAAGGGATACTGCGCTGAAAATGCTTTTCGCTTGTTGCCAGTTTATTTCCCCGATTCTGCAAGGACATGTGGGGAGTCCCGTACACGTGCAGGTGGCGTCATCACGGGACAGCGCCGGAGGCTTATGGCGCCTTAGCCTAGTGCCACAGTTAGAGTTAGCAAGAGATCCCATTTTTCAGAAGTGCAGAGACGGGTACTGCCTTTTTTAAGCACCCAGGGGGATGGCTGTTTTAGATATCTTTCCCCTCATATCCTTCCTTGCTCAACCACTTTCTGGTGTGCGACTTGGGGCAAATGTCTTAAAGTCTTATCGCCTGTTTCCTCAGCTGTAACTCTGGGCATAATACTCCTATTCATAAAGTTGTTGTGACGCATAAATGAGATTGCACATGGAAGGTACTCAGTGTCTGGCACATAGCAGGTACTCAGTAGACAGTACCCTTTTCGGTTCCCAAACTTTTGGTATAGTGATATATGAGAGTACAGATGTTACTTTGGAAATAACTTCTTGTATGTGTTTAATGAACATAATAATTCTTTCTCTTAGTGGAATCACCAGGAAGTGCTTTCCACATTTCCCAAACTGTATGGAAGAAAAGAAGAGGAAGTTACAGATGGTAAAAGGGATACTTAGCTTGGTGATAAAGAGTTATGATTAGCAAAAAGATCCAATTTTTCAGAAATGCAGAAAGGGAAACTAACTTTTGAGAACCCACTGGAATGGCTGTTTTAGATAGCTTTCTTCTCCTCACCACAATGAAGTGGGTGGCATCACCATATTTTTTCAGAAGAGGTTAAGAAGAGGGGGAGAAGGCAGGCTTTTAGACCCAGGTCTCCCTGCGAAACTTATGTTCATGCTAGTACAGAGACTGCCTTTGAAGAAGTCCTTGTCAAAGTATATAAAAAAGGCAATCTGAAGCCATGCCATAACATGACTTCCCAACATATCAAGAGCCACCAACTTTTTCCTAAGATAATGATGCTTTTTATTTCTTCTGAGGCTTATGATAGGAGGAAGTGGAGATGGAAGGAAGGGGTAGGGTCATGACTTTGCCTTGGGAAGGGGTGACCAGTAAGACTGACAGTGCTTGTTTTTTCTGGAAGTCCCCAGGATGACATTCTGCTAGCCCCAAAAGCAATGTGGTGAGGATTTCAGATTAACAGTTGACTAAAGTTTGTGTAGTTCTATCAGGGTTTGCTTTAAAGGAAGAAATTATAAAAATCGAAATATGTAAGTTGTGTTTTGCTGAGTTCATTTTAGGAGACAAAGGGCCACTTGTTAAAAAAGTTTTTTTTCCTTTGCAACATTTGGACCCTCTTTGATATCATACATTTTATTCTAATACATTAGCTAATGGGGGAGGTGGAGAAGGGGGTTCTTTTATTATAGAAAATACAGGTTCTGAAAAAAACACATCATTGGAAAAGATCTTTGTTGTAGTGTTTTTACCCCCCCTGGGTTGTAGGATTGATTGGGATCTGGTGGATATACTAAAACAATAGTTACCAACCAAACAAGTTGCTTTCGAGCCCAGTCTGACTCATGGTGACTCCGTGTGTGTCAGAGTTAAGAACTGTGCTCCACAGGGTTTTCAGTGAGATTGACAGGCCTTTTCTTCTAAGGTGCCTCTGGACAGACTCGAGCATCCAACCTTTTGGTTAGCTGCCGAGCTCATTAACTGCACGACCCAGGGACTCCAAAACAATAGTTACCATGTGCTGATTTATGGCATACACTGTGATTTGATAAATATTCATTATTTATCCAAGAGGGAAGTACTGTTTTAGTTCCAGTTCTACAGATGAAGAAATTGAGGCTCAGAGAGGTGAAACAATGTGTTCAACATTGGAAAATCTAAGGGAGGAACAAAATAGTTAAAACGGGTGTATTGGGGACTGTAGAATGCACCAGGAGAGGGGGAATGACATGGGTGGTGGGGAACACCGGAGTAAAGGCTGCGTTTAATCAGTGAGGCATGGAGCTTCCTACTGGGAGGAAAGAACATTGATTGGTCTTTTTTTTTTTTTTTTTTAATTGTTGTAATTAAATGAAGTTTACATTTCAAGTTAGCCTCCCATACAAAAATTTTTTTTTGCATACATTGTTATGAGACCCTAATTGCTCACCCCATTCTGCAACAGCACACTCCTCCTTTCTGCCCCTGATTCCCCATGACCATTCAACCTGCTCCTAACTCTCTCTTGCCTTCCCATCTCACCTCTGGACAGAAGCTGCCCTTTGGTCTCCTGTATCTCCTTGACTAAGAGGCGCTCTCTTCATGAGTATCACTTTATGTCCCATGGTCCAGTCCAATCGCTGTCTGAAGAGTTGGCCTCAGAAATTGTTTCAGTTCTGGGCTAATAGAGAGTCCAAGGGCCATGCCTTCTGGGGCGCCTCCAGTCTCAGTCAGACAATTAAGTCTGGTCTTCTTACTAGAATTTGAGTTCTGCACCCCATCCTTCTCCTGCTCCATCAGGGACCCTCTGTTGTGTTCCCTGTCAGGACGTTCATTGGTGGTAGCCGGGCACCATCTAGTTTTTCTGGTCTCAGGCTGATGAAGTCTCTGGTTTATGTGGCCCATTCTGTCTCTTGGGCTAACACTTTCTTGTGTCTTTGGTGTTCTTCGTTTTCCTTTACTCTAAGTGATTGGGACCGATTGATGCATCTTAGATGGCCGCTTGCAAGCTTTTAAGGCCCCAGACACCACTCACCAAAGTAGGATGCAGAACATTTTCTTAATAAGCTTTGTTATGCCAATTGACATAGATGTCCCCTGAAAGCATGGCCCCCAGACCCCCCATCCC